TTGATATTGACGCAATCCCTTAACAGCCAGCAGCAAATCTTGCTTCCCTGGAGCGAAAAATCCTATTTTTTCCCCCCAAAAAAACCCTTTATCCTGCATCCTCCTAGAGCAGAACCCAGCCCTGATTGCCCCAAACCGGCAGGGCAGCCCCTTTAATCATTTCCACCCTCTTCAAACCCCATGAATAACCCCATTGTTGGCCCTATCAGTGCCCGGTGCTAGGGTTTCACTGCTTTGGGAATTCTGCAGCTTTGGGATCGCCCCTCCCCGCCTTTAAAAGCATTGCAGGATGGAAATAAAAATTAATCAATATTAATTTTATATTAATATTATAATATTATATTATATTGTATCATATTGTATATATTATATATTATATATTACATTATATTATATTACATTATGTTACCTTATATTATATTGTATTATATTATAATAATATATAATATAAATATTAATTAATAAAATGGGGAAAAAATTTAAAATTAGTATTCATCCCCTTCCCAGCAGATTAAGGAACCCAGCCTGGCTTGGATTTGGGTTAAAGAAAAAAAAAATAAATTAAAATTCATGCCCGTTCCAGCAGATTTTGCTGGATTTTCAGGTAAATTCATGTTACTGCACCAGCCCAGATTATTAAAATTTTACCATTATTCTTCATGAACATTTTTAACACTGTGAACATTAATTAAAATAACATTAATTAATTGTTAATTAAACCAGGCTCATTGCCTTCTAATACATCCCCTGTGACACACAAACATTACTTTAGAGAGAGCAAATTCACACAGAATTACACAGTGCAACTACAGCAAAATAATTAAAATTACCCAAGAATTCAAAATATTCATTTTAGGGGTTTTTTTCCCAAAAATCTTTATGAGGAGAAGCTTTTCCAGAGGTTTAATTCCTCCTTAATCCCAGGGAATATAAATGAATTAAACATTAATATAAATGAATTAAACAGCTGGGTGTGGGCATCTTGGTGTCATTAGCTCTGGTGAAATCCCATTAAAAGCACCAGAAAAACCCTAAAAAAAATCCCCTAAAAGTGGCACAAAATAACAGCAGGACTTCTGTTTGGAGAAAAAAAAAAGGGATTTAAAAAAAAAAATTATTTTAATTTATAATTTTAGCTGTAAAGGCATTTTCTGGTGAAAAACCAAAGCAAGCGCCATGAGAATAACTTCTTCATTTGAGTAACTAATTCTTAAATATCAATATTTTATTTCTTTATTTAATATTAATAATTTATTTATTTACTATTCATTATTAAATTTTTTATGTTTCTTGATTTATTTCTATTTATTTAAAAATACAATCATGGAATGTTCAAATAAAGGTATTTCTAAAAGGAAATTTTTCCTTAAATGGTTTTCCTTATGACTCTTCCAGTTTATTTTTTGAAATTTTGGGGTTTTTTTTGTCTTTTTTTTTTTTGGCAGATGGATCCTTTTACTTCCCTTGGTGAGGGAGAAGGAAACCTGAGAGGTTTTAGCCCCAGGGTCCCCATTAATTCTTGTCTTTCTGAGAGATGTTTTGGACAGGGAAAAAAGCAGGAGAGAGCTCACGTGGATTTATGGCTGGGGATGGGGGAAATAGAATCCTAAAAAGACCCTAAAACAGCCTAAAATGAGCCTAAAATGAGCTCTGGAAAGAGCCTGAAAAGTGTAAAAAAAGAGCATAAAAAGAACCTGAAAAGAGCCCAAAAAGAGCTGAAAAGAATCTAAAAAAACACCTAAAAAGAGACCAAAAGAACCCCAAAAGAACCCCAAATGGGTCCGAAAAGAGCTTAAAACCAACCTGAAAAGTGCCTAAAAAGAGCCTAAAATGAGCCAGAAAAGTGCATAAAAAAAGACTGAAAAGAGCCTGAAAAAATCCAAAAAGGGCCTGAAAAGAGGCTGAAAAATGCCCAAAAAGAGCCAAAAAAGAACCTGAAAAGGGCATAAAAAAGACTGAAAAGAGCCCCAAAAGAGCCCAAAAACAGCCTAAAAACTGACAAAAAAAAGAGTCTGAAAAGAGCCCAAAAGGGGTTTACAAAAATGCATAAAAAGAGCCTGGAAAGATCCTAAAAAGAGCTCGAAAAGAGCACAAAAGGAGCCCAAAAAGAGCTGGAAAAGGGCTCAAAAAGAACCTTAAATGACCCTGAAAATTGCCTAAAAAGAACCTGAAGAGAGCCTGAAAATATCCTAAAGAGAGCCAGAAAAGAGCCCGAAAAGAGCCCCCAAAAATCCCMAAAACAGCCAGAAAAGTGCCAAGAAGATCCTAAAAAGATCTTCTGAAAAGACCTTAAAAGGATCTAAAAAGTGCCTAAAAAGAGCCTGAAAACATCCTAAAAAAGATCTTGAAAAGAATTTACAAAAAGCCTAAATAGAGCCTAAWACAAGCATGAAAAACGCATAAAAGGATCTTAAAAAGTGCCTAAGAAGAGCCCAAAAAGAGCCCCAAAAGATCCCAAAAATGGCCTGAAAAGAGCCTGAAAAGTGAATAAAAAGAGCCTAAAAATTGCCAAAAAATTGCCAAAAAGGAACCTAAAAAGAGCCCAAAAAGAGCCCAAAAAGGGCCCAAAAAGGGCCCAAAAAGGGCCAGAAAACTGCATAAAAGGACCCTAAAAAGATCCCCAAAAAAGCCCAAAAACAACCCAAAAACAGCCTGAAAAGAGCCAAGAAGATCCTAAATAGATCTTCTGAAAAGAGCCTGAAAAGACCTGAAAATGGTCTAAAAAGTGCCTAAAAAGAGCCTGAAAAGATCCTAAAAAAGATCTTGAAAAGAGCCTACAAAAAGCCTAAATAGAGCCTAAAACGAGTGTGAAATGTGCATAAAAAGATCCTAAAAAGCACCTAAGAAGAGCCTGAAAAGTGCCCCCAAAAAACCCAAAAAACAGTAAATATTTGAATATATTTTTATTAAAAGTGCCATTTTCTGGAGAAATTTCAGTTATACAGCAGTGAGAAAACATCCAAACAACAGTAAATAATGAAGAATTTATCAGTATTTTAAGTTTTTTAAATAAACTTTCTATAGACTTTCCAGTGCAATGTAAATAAAAAATAATTGTATTACACATATATAGAATAAAAAATTACATTTAACTGCACAAATGGATGGATTTGCCATTTTTTAAGAATTATTTTCATGTTTAAAGAGCATAAAATCAGATTACACATATACAGCATAAAAAATTTAACTGCAAAAATGGATGGATTTGGCATTTTTTATTAATTATTTTCATATTCAAAGGGCATAAAAATCATATTACCTATATTTAGCATAAAAAAATGCATTTAACTGCACAAATGGGTGGATTTGCCATTATTCATGAATTATTTTCAAGGAATAAAATT